GTCCAATTGCCTCTTTTACCTTGTGTTTGCTTCTTACAAGTGAGCCCCCCTGGCTGGACCCAACTCATACTGAGCTTTGGTTTCTCTGACGGCTGATCTGCAGTACCTAGTAACTCTCATATACTCCTCTTTAGAGATCTGACTTTACCTCCATTTCCTTTTTCTTCCTTAGCTTATTCTGGAGCTCTCGGTTCATCCACATCAGTTTCTTGGAGCCCTTACCATGTTTCCATCTTGCTGGAATAGTGAGGGCTTGTGCTCGCAAAAGCTCACATTTGAGAAGAACCCACCCTTCACTTGCTCCTTTCCCTTCCAACATACTCCCCCCCAGAATGACTCCCATCAAGCTTCTGAGTTCGTTGAAGTCGGCCCTACGAAAATCTAACCAGGAGTTTGGCTACAAACTTCCTTGATTCCCCACAGCAACTGGAATTCAAGGAGGACATGGTCACTTCCCCCTAAGGTCCCCACCACCTTCAATCCATCTACCAATTCTTCCTTGTTGGTTAATATTAAGTCCAGTATGGCTGATCCCCTTGTAGCTTCCTCCACCATTTGAAAAAGGAAGTTGTCAGTCAGACAGGTCAGGAAGTTGCATGATTCTTGTTGCTTTGTTGAGCCTGTCTCCCAGCACACATTGAGCAAGTTGAAGTCTCCCATAATTATAAGGTTCTGATGTCTGGATGCTCTACCAATCTGTTCAAGGAGGGCAGCATCCATTTCCTGTCCCTGGTCTGGCGGTCTGTAGCCGACTCCAACAACAATACCCTTTGTCCTACCTCCCCTTATTTCCACCCATATACTTTCCATGGGGCTGTCAACCACATTCTCCAGAACTTCCTGACAATCTAGCCCCCTCTTCACATACAGCGCCACTCCGTCTCCTCTTCCCAGTTTTTCTTGAACAACTCATCCCCATACACTACCACATTCCAGTCATGAGAATCATCCCACCAAGTCTCAGTGATTCCTATCATATCGTAGCCCTCTGTTTACAAGAGAATCTCAAGCTCTTCCTTATTACCCATACTACGGGCATTGGTATATAGGCACTAGTAGCCTTGTACCTTTGTTTGACCTGTCCTACCCAGGTGGGCCCCCACTGTTTTCACTTCTTCATTGAAGTCCCCATGTGGACCGTCTCCTTCCCTTTGCGGCTCCAGTTTAAAGCTCTCCTGATTAAGCTCTCCAGGTTCTTTCTGAACATACCTTTTGGTACTGGAGTAAATGCTGTCAGACTTCAAGCTGCCACTGGACCTCTGTTTTGTTTAACCTTACTTAATCACACTCTAGCTGCAATGGATGAGAATTTTGCAGCTGACAATATAGTAATCTTTTTATTTGTACCTAAAAGCAAATTGGAAACCACACGTCCGGATAGTCTGTCAAAAAATTTAAAAATCCAGGGTACCAACAAATTAAACTGAGATCCAGAATAAAGACTGTAAGATAATAATACCTGCAAAACAGAATCTACAACATTACTCCTATAAAGATATACCCTTTCAGATAGATACATTTGTATTTGTTTAAATCTGCCCTCCAGCAAAACTAATGTTAGGGCATATAGTCTGAGATGTCACTGTCTACCCTCAGGATTTTCACATATTATTCTGCTGCACTTGCAGAGATGGCAGTTATGAAGTGATAAACTCATATCTCAATATGTTTGCCTGTGTTGTTAATAACTGAGCTAAAAAGCATTATGCATGAAAGCAGTTCTGCAATGACTATTTTGCATAATCTTTCAGTTATAAGTACTGCAGTTCAAAACTACGTCTAACCAAAAGGTGTGTTCCCATGACTGGAAAAGTGAACTTCAAGGAGGGACATAGGAAAAACGGAAGCACTACCCCATGACCAAAGCTCATGTCTCCTTCCCAGCTTTGAAAATGTATTAAGCCCCATCAGTTGTTTTAGTGCACAGCTAACTGTTCTTCACCTACCTAGAGCCCAATACATTACCGTACACTAGGTAAGACATGTATGCATGAGGAGAGACCAGTTAAGATTTGTATAGTTTCTAGAAGTCCTTAAGCCTGGTAAAAGGTAAAGGTAAAGATTCCCTTGCTCGAAAGCCAGTCAAATCCGACTCTAGGGTTGCGGTGCTCATCTCTGTTTCAAAGCCGAAGAGCCAGCGCTGTCCGAAGACGTTTCCGTGGTCATGTGGCC